ATTACAACTTCCAAATTAGATCAAATATGAAATTCATAATATTTACCTTGGCTGCAATCCACTGGACAGATAAATGAATTAAAGAAAGCAAGTTAACGACTTACTCGTTATTATTGTTTATTAGTGTTATAAACACAAAATCGTTTATTGAAAAATAATTGTACACAATGTTGAATAGATTTTATTCATGAGATATAAAACTATAACTGGTTAATTTGCTAACACTTGTATGCAGTTGTTTTATGTTCTTATTGTACTAAACTTGTACAAATTCACCGTGCGGAAACAACAACTGCCCTGTTTCTATTCAGTATGTGTCCGTGTAGTGTATACTTTAATTTAGCAAGAACAAAATTACTATTATTTTTGAAATATGAATTTGAAACCACCCTTTGTTCCTCTGAGTTTGAACTCCTTCAAATTCATCTTTTCAAAAAGTATGTACTAATAGTATACTAATATTTGCTAATAATAATCAGTGAAATTGTTATAGAGCTTGTAATACCATAAATTGTATTCTATAGGTGCTGTTGACGAATAGTAAGTAGATTTGTCATGCGCATATATCAGCAGCATAGCCAATTTATTTTTGGACTATTGATAAGCTTTTAATAAAAATGAAATCAATTATCTGACCTAGTACTAGGAGGCCTACTGTAGCTAATGATAGGTAATTTTAATCTGAAACTTATACACCATAACTGATTAGAGTTTAAGGCTTCTTTACTTCTAGTAACAAGGATTTAAATAAGGTAAGTGCAGATTTGTTCTTTCTCTGTTTAAACTTATTACGAAAGTCAATGAATCGGTTACTTTAATGCAATCACACATGTCATTAAGAACAAGTTTTTTATAAAAGAGGAGTATCTAGCTGGGCTCAAAAACATAAGCTATCCCAAGCCTTAAAACAGTGAGTAAAATTATTTTATGATTGTGTTACCTTTATTAGTATTTTATCAATTTTTTACAATCTATGAATTCACGTAATCGTTTATTTTACTTAACAGAATTCTCTTACGAACTACACATCTATAATAGCTAATTTTCGACTTTGTTCAAAATTCAATAATTTCGAAAAAAAAATATGAATATACAATGTTTCCTGTTGTATTTTTTCATTGAAGTGAACTGTTAAACGATTTAATTATTTTTATTTCATGATTACTGTAAGTTTAATTCTTTCGCTTCGTTGATGTCCAGGATGATAACACAAGCTTAGCAATAAATCATTTAGACTCAATATATACAGAGCAACCAATATCAATAGACTATCCCACTTAATTCAAGATAAATAGTAAATTTTACATTTCTTGGCTCTTTTCTTATAACTGTCTACGTTTTTCGCTGAATGAACAAGTTAACAGATTTATGAGCTGTTAATTAAAATTGGTGCGTATATTCACTTACTCAACTTTGAAATCTTTTAGGAAAAATATGACTAAATAGAGAATGAAACAATACGTCTTAGTATTTTTCTTTTATGATTTTACCAATGATCATCTAATTTTTGTCTTATAATTCATGTATCTTTTCACAATATTTCATTCACTTCTATAAGGTTAATTGAATATTGTGGCTATTTGTAACAACATTAATATTTGTTATGTTGAAATAAAATGATAAACTCTATTGTAACTGAATAGTTTATCAAGTTGATAATTGTACATGCCTAATAAGCAACATTTATATTACTTTCTAAGTATTGAATGAATTGGAAAGAAAATGTGCAATTTAACTAATCTAAAATCACTATTTCTATGTTAGACTGATCTATTGAGAAGATAAATCGAATACATTCATTTTCAATTACATTAATTTAATAGATAAAATTCTTCTTAGCCATTGCCATTTTGTTCAGTCTATTTTTTTTTTAAACTTTGTGTATTTACATAAAGTAATGCTTTAATCTAATTTACCGAAAAAGTCATGTTACTGATAACTATACTAGACAAAATGGTAGAATATGTACAGAATAAAACAAACAATAAAGTAAATATAACTAGATTAAAAATGTGACTATACAATCTGTTACTATTTCATCTAAATTTATTTTGTAATCCAATGAGACTGGCTTTTTACAATTGGTTCATACAAATATTTTCTCATATTATTTATCTCAGACAGCGCCGTTCACATAAATGCTATTAGAGTCGATGAACTCTTTAAATAAGTGTATCATCGTGTATTATCTATTTTCAGCTCCATAACTAAAATCAGGAAAGTAAAAATTGTAGTCTTATTCATAATGAATATTTCAGATCACAAAGGATTCCTCATCATAATTTTTTCAGTCAGACAACATATGGTCCCATAAAAATTGAACTTCACGTGCTAGGTGTCTCTTAAGATATTCAAGCACACTTTGAAATACCTTTTTCTCAGGAGGCATAAAAGTGTTCAGGAATGATATTTTGAACAAGACATCGGGTAGATTCCTTCAAATTTTTCGAGGTGATCACCAAGCTACTGATTTCTGATCTCATATGTTCTGAACTTTAGTCATCAAGCTCTACGGCTGTAGTCTGTTTTCTAAGCCTAAAATACATCAGCATTTTTTTACCCTTATAACACAGGAGCTATTTGATAACATGACATTTACTATTCGAAATTGGTATTCTTAAACACAGTATGAAGTAATCTGTAACGCTTAGAAAATAATAATACGATAAGCGCTTGACACCTGAGATTCCACGATATGCGTAAAGCTTCTAGTATTTTTTGCAAGCATACCCCTATACACTGTTAACCTATCTTCTATGGTAGAAATTTAGGATATGTGAACTCAAATGAGGTAATTGTTTGAACCCTGATCAGAAATTCTTAGTTATTACTTTAATTACTTCACCAAGGACGTATGTGTATCAGCCTAATTTCTATCCAAATCTGACTACGTGAACCGTTAGATATGGATGGAGAGTTTGAGATTCACATAATTATTACGGTTCACGTTGAAAAATTCGATACAGAGTCAGCAAACAATGACATTTTCGTATGTTATAGATCACTGATCAGTGGTTTATCGCCAGTCACGAGTTTCATAGATAGATTTCACAGCTTAGTTTATCTGTTTAGACATATTTCAAAATCCACTTACCGTAACTAATTAAAGTACTTACTTCTTTGCTCATCTTACACCTCTAAGCGATTTCTTACCAAATATTTTATCAGAAGACAACGTTACTTATCACATTTCATAACTTCAACAACCATCTTACTTCTGTGATAATAAACAAAATAGTTTGTACAGTTCACATGTCAACCATTACATAATGGAATACTTATCTATGTTATTAGTCATAAATGCTTGAAATGGTGAAATTTGCTGACTCCTTGATTTAAAGACAATTTATAATATTTCCTAAAATTCCCAAGAATTTTCCATACACTAATAGATATTTTTATATACTTACCCTTTTGAACAAGGCTTCCAAGTCAGACTATTTTTACAAAACATTTTCAAGTAAGCGAAGTATGAATATTCCGTCTTTAGTGCAAATAGTGTTCAGCTGACAGTTAAAATCGATAGTATAGTCCAACTCTAATTGTATCTTAGGCATATCTATGAAGCTACTTTAGGTGATAATGTCGTCCTTGTTATCTTGTTAGTATCCATAATACAGAATCTTTTGCTATTTTTATCCATGCGCATATATACAAAAGAAAGACATCCAATATTTATGTAGTGTAAATAAATAAACTACAAAGTTCGGGAGATGAAATATGTGTTTCTTCGGATAAAAAGCAGTATATTAAATAAAACTGACATTATAAACAGAAATATAATCCTTACTTATCTGATAAAATTAATTTTTGTATTGCTTTGGCAGAACAGTTACAAAATGGCTGAAAGTGCCCAAGGTACTTTTTTTAATAGTTTTCCGTCGTCATGGATAATTTCACTTATGACTGGCTATAATCTGGAGTGTGGAATAAGTCTGTCGATATAAATTCTATTCAAGTTGAAAGCTGTCTTTGCGTAATTCCATCTTCATTGAATGCCTATAGATTTATAATTATAAGGGTAATTTTAAACGTTCAGACCCTATTGTAACCATGCATTTTCTCAAGATCATGAACATGTTACGGTGACGACTAGCAACGAACTCGATAAATTAGTCCACAGCCACAATCCTAATTGTCGGTTACCACAAAACATGCGAAACGATAAGTAATTTCTTCTTCATGGAAAAAGTACAGATTAAAGAATACTGACTTGTAAACGGAAACCATTCATCGATTCCAAAAACTGTGTTTAATTTGACTCACTAGTACACCTGAAAATGTTTTCTAAATAATGTTAAACATCATATAATTATTTGGAAAAAAATTAAATGGACAACATATTAGCTGAATAGTTTCCCTATGGAAATCACTCAGTCAAAATCATAAGTTAAGATTTCTGATATGGTATTTGAAATTTGCAAGGATGACCAATGAATGTGTTTATAGTTTCAAATCATCTATAATATCAACAATGAATCAATTTTTTGACGGTTCTGTTACTCATCCGTGATATCAACACAGAATCCTTACAAGTGATTTAACAAACCTAGCAAGATACCGAAGTAATCATTCTAATTTAACTTATTATGAGAACCAATCGTAAGCTGATAATGTCAGGCATACACTTCAACTTTCTTCATACATTACCAGAAGAATGAAAATATAATATTCAATTTTTTATTCATTTTCTAGCTCATTTCCTATAGAATAACTATAGATATAATTCGCCACAGCTGTAAAAAGTCATTTTGACTATTTTACAAAAACAAAAATCACAACTATCTTAAAATTTTCAAGATAAATAAAAGTTTTCAAGTTTTTAATTGAACAAAGTGATTACATATCAGGCTAGATATTTTTATTTATCTTCTTCAGTTCGATAATCGCTAGTTAAAACATATCAGTTATTGAGTACCATGAGGTTAAACTATAAGATAGTTCTTACTCTGTGATATTATAAATAAATATCAAATATTGTTGTACAAAGAATAACTTACATGCATATCATAGGTATCATTTCCGATATGTCTGTATTTAAATCAAAATATATTTTCATTGTTTCAGGCAATTTAATTTGTACTTGTTCACTGACAATTCCACCAGGAAATGCTATAATCAATGCTAACAATCCGGCTGCAACTAATAAACATTTCACTCGACATGGTACACTGACTGTTGGATCAGTTAAATGTTTACCATTTTGACTGATGCCTACACTACGATTTAAGCAGATAGCAACAAGTAGAAAATTGTTTAATGCAACAATGAAATAAATAAGAAATGCAGAAATTTTACACATTATATTGCCTAATAACCAATTTTTATATACAGCTGTATATGCTGTATATGGTACACCGAACCATGCCAAAGCTAAATCACACAATACACGTATCAATAACATCCTTCTATTGGCTAGAGATTTTGGACTCCGCAATTTTCTGATTGTATGTATGAGTAATAAATTAATAAGTGTACCAAATAATAATATTATTATGTACAATGATAGCAATACTCGTTTATAAGGATTTTTTAATAATGTATTCACATAGTTATTGAAAAAGTAATAGATTTGTTGTGATGTATTTTTTGCTGACAGATTAGTTAGACTCCATTCTAAAATAAACTGAATATCATCGGATACATTATCATTTTGACTAAAACTTGAATATGTTGACTGATTATCCTGTAAAATGGATTCATCCATTTTGTCAACTCAAAATTCAAAAGTTGTATCAAACTGATAGTCGATTATAACGCAAATTGTGCATTATTCATAAACGCGTTTCAGTTTTCACAGTTGCTCTGTAGATAAAAATAATGTCTTACTGAATGTTCATTGTACAATCATGCTGATGTTCACATCCATTGAACTGAATTATACATCGTTTATTGATGAAAAAATAAAAACTGATAAATGAAAAAGAGTGGGAAATTAGTTTGTAATCATTTAGCCTGAGACGTTCAGTATCGCATTATAAATACTATACTATGATTGGTTTATAGTGGTAAATATCCTATATTTTCCCACCAATAATCTTTATTCAAGTCAGAATTTATTCTTGAATAAAAATGCCATACATTTTATTTGATAAAAGAATAACAATTCATCTATTATTACTTTATTCTAGTCGACCATTTTATCGTCCTCCATTTCGAACAGTCTTCACCTGTAATTTTTGAGTGTCATAGAGGAACGTTCGCGGAAAATAATCTACCAACATTTTGTGCATTGATTATAGTTCAGTATATTAGGTTTGGTACGGAATTAGCTTGAAAACGATTGGTAACGCTGAATTTCTTATTTGCCTTCTCCATAGTTTTAGGCTTGATGTAATACATCAACGCTTGAAAAGTTAACAGTCACTTAAATTACTAGTAATTAGTTTTATGTTAGGTCGAGAAGACTGAACAAACAATTTCTTTAAAGATGCGAGTACTCAAATTCACAAAAAATTATTTCAGTCACGATGATATAATATGTAACTGCTATTACAAATCCATATGGATTGATGTATGTAATGACATCTAATTAGTGAGACATACAAAACAGAGCTTTAATTGATTTCCCTCTTGTACATTCTCATTTAAAACTAAGTGACAAAGCTAGAAGTATTTGCATTACCACTTTGTATCCATTTGTTTTCATTTTCTATATACGTCATATTCTTTCAAACAAATAGTGAAATGTAATTATAGTAACGAACTTCAGGTTTGAAATCAATATACTTAAGGTTATGAAAACCGTTTACTCAAATAGTCTGACACAAATCATTTTACAAAGTAAACTACTGATTTTAATAGGACAGCTGATTAAAACAAAACATGCCTTTCTAAAGATAATTACTGATAGCTCAAACGTAAATTGATATGACTGAAGGATTATACCTCAGCAAAATGTAGAATTGGAAAATGTTTCTTCACACCCACAGAAGTGATAATGTTTCTGAAACCAATATTTTGTTGCCATTTCTAATTCATTGGTGTTGTTGCTACTTCCAACTACAATTATTTGATTGACCGAATTTCTAGTATGGCTGTTCTGCATTTTCATTCGTTGATTGTAATATGACTCACTTCATAACTTTACCAGTGCTTTGAATTAGTCAGTTATACTTGAATTCAAGATTTCAAGATTTGTATACAAAAAATACCGTTAAAAGTAATTTATTGGATATTTACAACCGATGTAAAGTGTGTTTGCTGATCCAAACTCCTCTGATTGTATAGATCATCAGTAACCTGTAAAACTTCAGCAACTATCAGGTTGTTCATGGAAGAACACTTTTAAAATCGCTCAATGATCTGAAAAGAACAGACAATATCTATTTTATGGGAGCAGTGAATTCACTGATAAATAATTAGCATAAACATAGCAGCAACAAAATTCACTGATACCAACTAACTAGGATCTTTTCATTTGTTCCGATTATAAAACTAATGTCCATACGTTATCGAATTTTTTTTAATTAATTGACAGTCACTCTTAATAATTTATTAAAAGACATTTTTGTTAAAATAAAATTGCTATCATCGATTAGTGGATATTTAATAGAATTTTTAAAAATGTAATTGTCCTTATTACTTTTTACAAAAATAAATCAGAAGAGCTAGTTTTCGTCACTCATAAGTCAATTTAAATTAACAAAACAAAGTATTGCTAGTAATTTAATTGGTGATGAAGTAAAAATCAGTTTTCGACATGTATTTTAATAAGTCTTATCTTCAAACGTTTACCAAAAAGTCATAAATTTATCTGTTTCAATGCAAATACACAAAATTGACTTTAAATAACATTTTTCAAGTGAATAATTGTGACCCTTCACTTCTCATCTACATAAATATGTTCCTAATCCATACGATTCATTCTTTCTATCAGTTTATTATATTTTATTAGTGTTGAATACTGAAGTCTACAAGATTTGCATAAAACTTTGAGCTCATTGAAGAAAATATACTTCTGACAGGAATCATCAGTTTACCAAAAATTACGGGTATATGTTTTTGATGAGTGTCAAAATGCCCAAAATCTGTGTCCAGTAATTCCTGTTGACTATTTCTAGTCACTATATCATGTGAAATCCTTGTAATTAGTTCAAAATGAGTTTCTTTTATTCGTTATTACCAAATAGTATTTACAAGCTTAAAGCCACATAATTTGCTTTGTTAGTATTTTCCATAAGTAGCATAGAACATGAATAAATAAACACTGAGTGAGAAGTCCACGGAAATGCTTATAGATAGAAATTTTGAAGAGAAGAAATAACTCGACAATTTTTATCACCCTGAAGGCATGTTTATACAAAAAGAAGTTGACTATTTTTGAACGCGTTAGAAAATAACTGAATTTCATGAAGACAAAAAAATAACCAAGTGAATAGTGATTTACAACATAAAAAGAAATCGGTGAGACAAACGTTTATAATCATGGAAGATTATTGAGAAAATTTGATGATCCACATAAATGATATAAAGTTGAAATAAAATAAAGATGAATCTGAATAGTGGATTTGCGAAAGCATCAGAGGTATTTCTATCAAGATGAACTCATTAACCTGATAAAATAGTAAAACTTTTAAGGTAAATGAAATTACTATATATCCAGAGAAGTGGTTTTGAATTTCGAATAAAAAATTTTAAGAAACAAACAGCCGACTAAAATTATGTTGGATAATTGACGCCGTTATCTATGTACGAATAACAATAATAATAATAATAATAATAATAATAATAATAATAATAATAATAATAATAATAATAATAGATTCTCAATAATCATATGTAGGGTTCGAGATCATACGTTGACTATGAACACGTCCACAAACCAATTACGTTCTGGTCTTAACGCGTAACCCCGTCAGAGGATAATCCAGATGAATGAGTATATTGGTTGGCGATTTTACGGTATCGAAAGAATGCTGAACTCGTGTCAGAGAAAATGGGTGAAAGGGTACAAAGCAGCAGAAACAAGATGCCCACAGGAAAGCGTTGTACAAAAAGTTCATCCAAACGTCCACTGATACAATTGGTTATAAAAATGAATGTTTCCATTTAACCGGTCGTGTTTTCTTCGTAAAAGTGGAATCGCTACACATACAAGTTACGAAAGGCAAGGCAATTTACAATCAAGATCAAATGGTACGGTATATTACACAGTAAACTGCATTACTTAGCTCGATTAACGCTTTTTGACGACAGTTTTCCTAAGGGATCAGGATAACAGAACTATTGATGGTATGACTAAAATTTATAATGCAAAAGATGGCTCTTCTTGTGGGTGCAAATTTGCACAATGGTCTGTTACTAGTATGTTCTGAAAACATTTTACAGTTTTTGAAGATTTAAAAATTAATAAATTTTGAGTATATTAAACCATTTAGTATTATTGGTCTGTAGGTAGCTGCTATAAACTAGTGTTATATGAGAGGAATTTTTCTAGGGATTACGAGAAACCTCGTTTACTAGAGTCATGTTCTGGTTGCGTTTTAGGAGTACTGTAATAGGATCATTTAACCCAGCCTGAAGCTCATCTGGGGCTACTGCCAAGCCCAATCCCGGATAAAGGAGGATGGATGAGCGTGGGTGTAACGATCCCATCCCGCAGAAAACTAAATCGCCAATAAGTTGCTAACGGAAAAAAATCAGTACAAAATAGATAGGAAGCCATTGTGGAACAACATGAAGTGCGAGAAAGGAATGGAAGCAATGAGAGATTCGCAAACCTATGTGCCCTCAACAAACTGGTCAACAGCGGCATCATATTCTCACACAAACGCATGCACAAAGCTACGTGGATCTCACCGGATTACACTACTCAGAACCAAATCGGTAATATCTTATCAATAAAAAGTTCCAATGGGTGATGGAGGACGTGAGAACCAAGAAAGGAGCTGATATAGCTTCAGATCTCGATTTGCTGCTCGCCGAAACGAAACTGAAAATCAAGAGGCACTGGAAAACAGGGTGGACAACACCAAAAAGGTTCCATAAAGCCTCTATACAGGATACCACAAAACTCAACGAATTCAGGATAGCTCTCAGCAATAGGTTCCAGGCCTTGCACGATCTACTCAATGGAGAGGAGACTACTATGGAAAATAATTAGAAAGGGACTAAGGAGGTAGTCACCTCAACATACCACAGGGTGCTGGTTCAGAGGAAGTGCCATTACAAGGAATGGTTCTCGGTTGGTATCCTTGAAAAAAATTCAAGAAAGGAAGAACAAGAAGGCAGCAACCAATATCAGCCGAACAAGAGCAGAGAAAGCCAAGGCACAAGCTCAATATGCTGAAGCAAGCTAGTGGAGAGGAGCATGAAAGCCGACAAGCGTAAATGTGTGAAAGACCCAGCAATGACGGCGGAAAAGGTTACAAAAGAAGGAAACTTGAGACAATTATACGATATAACAAAGAAGCTCGCTTGAAACTCTCGTAAACCAAAGTTTACAAGCATTCGAAGTGATTGGTGTTGTGCGTTCATTACAAGTTAGATAATTCAAGTGCCTTAGGCAAACGTCTATAGTGTGTCACATTCAGTTAATCGTTAACCGTCCACTTCAACATGAAGTCCTAGGTAGCTACATCTGATATTGATCCAGGAGCACTTGTTAATATCAGTTAAGCATACATGCTGCTTTTTACACACCACGAAGTTTCACACATTTGCCGGTATGTCCATATCGACTAGATTCTCCCGCAAGCAAGTCGGACATCCAACCAGTGTGCTTGCGAGCGTCACCCTGATGCAGGTGCCGATGAATCAGTTCAGTCCCTCCAACCAAACCACTACCCACATTCTCCAGTCGACATGGGCAGCAAGGCGAGCTTCCTCAGCTGGCTCTAGCACCCCGCAACGGTTTACCGAGCCACTCAGCAGTGCTCTAACCAGCAGCCTTTCCAACCATCA